CTTTTGTGAAGAACACCCTCGCCACGTACGTAAAGGTAGGTAGGTAGGTGAGTATGACTATTTACGCTTCGTCGTCACATAAGGGCATTTCGACAGGAGGATCGAAGTCTACGCCACGTTGTACCGTACCAGGTTGTCTATGGGGGTATTTCATTAAATTGAATAATCAAATGAATTATTTCTGTTTCACAATGTTAAGGTATTCATATAAGGCACTGTTTGTGTTAACTTTTATCTTTCTGAAGATATTAAACAATTATGTCAAAATAAAAATACTACTTATAAATGAAAGTGTACATATAAATAATTTCGTTGCCGCTGGTGACATCATGATAGCCAAGCCCTCGATGTGCATGTGGTTATCCTCTGGGTGACAGGAGTAGATCACTGACTCACCCGTTAACAATTTGGTGAGTCCATTCCAGTTCCATCTGCTTTCACATATTCCCAGTACTTGAATCCCGTATCTTTTCATTTCGTTTGCGATCCGGTCAGCTTTGCCAATCTCGTACATGGTGCTGACATTCCATGTCCTCACACAGACTTTTTCTTTTGGCGTATGGAGATTCATCGTGCTGAAGACTCTGTAGCAACTTTGTTTACAGGGTGGGGTTGCTAGCCTCACGCCTGAGAAGGGGGATTGTTACATTAAAACATAGTTTAGAGAGAAGCGACCTTGTGGGTTGCTCCCCTTAAAACCAGGAAAACAAGGAATAAAACAATCAGAACAACACCATCACAGGAAAATAATTCACAACAAGAATGGTAACAAGCGACAACAACAACAACAATAATAATATCACAGTCAAGTACAGTTAACCGAAATGATACCAAAATCATAGACTCACTGACTTGAGCCAATTTGAACATGTAAACCCATCAATATATACAATTATAGATAGATGTTAGTTAGTGGTAAACAAGCACTGAGTGGCAAATAGATAGTTATAGGTATTATCTATCAAAAGTATTAAATCCAAAGGTTCAGTGTTTCAAAGGCAAATAATTGCGATATTTCGTTTTGCAAATTTTTGGCAAGATATTCCACAAAAATAAGAGTTTTAGGTAACTATGTAAATGTAACGTAATAATCGAAAAGCGCGTCAAGGTATGCAAGCAGGAAGAAATAGAGATGGATTGGCTGGCCATACTCTGAGGAAACAAACCATCAAGTGAGTGACATCACTAGACAAGCCATCGCTCGAGTGGCCCCCGAATTAAAGGGAAGCGGCGAGTTGGTCGTCAGTGCGAGGGTGGGTGACTTGGAGGAGGTCATGTGAAGACGAAATGAAAACGTGTGGGCAGACTTGGAGCCAGGTGAAGACTTTAGCAGAGAACCGAAGGCAATGGAGACGCACGGCTGAAGCCCTATGTTCCCTAGGAATTAAAGGAAACAATAATAATAATAACTGACAAATTCACTAATAGTGAATGAATGAATGAATTAGTGTTATGAACAAAATTAATGTTTAAATAACATCGAATCAATATTATCAATAGATTACAGTTCAGTAGCATCAATATAAAATAAGCTGAATGTCAGAAAAATTAGGAAAGATAATAGTACAAATTTATGCATGAATTTCTAGTCTCTACTGAAGGTCGGCCAGGGTAGTAGTAGGGGCTGGACTTGCTCCTTTTGGACACAGAGCACTGGTTGTTTGAGGCGAATTGCAATAGCCTCTGCTGTTTAGAGCATGCGGTGCTTCGATGATTTTGGCAGTTTATTAGACATCCGGTGGATGATAGAGAAGGATTCTTCCACGCTGGCTGTCTTTGTGACCGGTTTGCACCAGATGGTCTAATATCGAACTGTTAATGTTTTTCACTACACCCTTACTTAGCTATAGTGGGAGGTGTTCGCGAGCGAGCACGAAAAATCAAGTTCCTAGAGCAAAGGTCGATATAACTCGCTCCACAAGCGCAAATGAATTGTTAGATACAATTTGAAGTGGTTAGCTAGTCTAGGTACTTCATCTTTCAGTTGGGGTGGCACCATCGGTCGTGTAGAGAATAATACGTGTAGTTCGCCAGCATTATAAGTGTGTTATGTAAGGCAACGAGTTAAATGATCTTCTTTTATTGAATGAGTGTACCGCTAATCTGATTGTCCGAAGTTTTATAAATGCACTATGACGTTGAACAAATAATTCTTTGTGTTTAATTTAACTAGCCACATTAAAGTTTATTCAAAAAAAAACCAACTAAGGGAGTGAGTGTTTTTGCCTGTATAACTTACCTGTATCAAATTGAATTGATATCAGGTAGATAGATAGATGGATGATGACAGAGCCTTTTATTTTAACACGTGTTTGCCAAGAATATTTACCATGGAATAATTACATTTAACAAATTAAGAATGATCAAAAAGATTTATGGTTAATTCAAAAAGCGCTTTGCTTTGCTTGTTTTGTTGTGTTGTGTTTTTTCTGCTTTCCTGGCAATCATCTTGTCAGAATGAAAAAAAAGAAAGAAGAAAGAAGCATTGACTGTGTTATTGATTTCTGAAGAAGAAAAAAATTAGTGATTCAACTTTCTTTTCACATATATATATATAATAAAAGCCAAATGATGATTAGTACAGTGTTTGCCTCTTTCATTCTTTCTTTTTTCCTTCGCTTGTTGGTTGATTTGTTGATCTCTCTCTTATTTATGCTTCTTTTAAATCATTTTTTCCTCATCATTCTCATGGTTAGTGGTATCATTTTTACAGGGTAAAGAATTATTACTATATACTGAAGAGTGCCACACACTAGGGACGAAACAACTGTTCAGTACACACTCCCCGTGTGAAGTAATTTGAAATCAGTGAAATCGCAGTATAAACCAACACACTTGAAAATTTATCTAGTGTACACTAGTAACTGACTAGTAGGTGGTTATTGCTACCAGCGGGGCTCGCTCACCAAGTGTTGCATGTGAGGACAGGATACCGATGGTATTGCCTGGCAGTCGCGCTATATATATATAGCACGAGTTGTCAGAAATTACGATTCGTGAGCCATTCGATTCCATCTGAGTAGGCGAATGGCTAAACGAGCTCACCTTGTAATCGGAAGGTCTCAAGTTCGATATCTGGCGGTGCGGTGGTGTAATGGTTGGTTGTGTACTGTACTGGTTTAGAGTCACGAACTAGGTCGAAACGACTGTACAGTAAGTACTTTCTGAAAGGTCCTGGGTTCTATCTGCGGTGAGATAATGAGTGCATACTGATGAGAAGTTACATAGTAGGAGGAGGAAACAGCTGTCTCGTTAGTACTCACTGATTTTCAATGGTTCTCTCTAACTGATGTCAATCCGTGACCAAACTTCACTCACTTAATAATAGTAGTAGTATTAATACTGACAGAAACTGAACTTTCATGAAATCAACGCATAAGTTATATATATATATATATATTTCAGTAGGTTGAAAATAATTGATTAGCTCTGTTGTATTTAACTGTAAAGTCTCCTAATCACATCAATTATTATTCAGTGTATGAAACAAATATCTTTCTATTTTTGATTAAAAAAAAGCGATTTTCGAAAAATACAATGAGTGAGTGACAAGTGATACGTCACTGCCCCTTCCACATCACCCCAATCCCCCACACACACCAGGCCGTTAAAGAGTTTCATCACAAAGATAAATGACAGGAGAAAAATATGCATGCACATATGATTTGAAGAAAAGAACTAATATTGACTGAATAATTCTGTATCATTCGTTCACTGGTGAGTTTTGCTCCTGTTGACAAATTCTCAAATCTTTGCATCACCTCGAAGAAGAAGAAATAAAGACTAAGGGACAAGATGATGATGATCACGTAACGACAAGTCGTTGAGTTCTGAGTAGCCCTACGAGCGCTTGCCTTGTAACCGGAAGGTCCTAGGTCCGAACCCTTTCTGTATTAGTGCGTCGGTGGCACAGCGGTTAGGACTCTCACCGCACTCTCACGCACATGGTCCGGGATTCGATCCCCTGCCAACGCACACCCGATATTAATGGTTGGCCTGCAAAATTTGAGCTACCGATATCACATACTGAAAATTCCATACCTGTGCGAAAAAATACGTTGTGGAGTCAAGCTATGATCAAAATAAAATAAACAGCAGTAGGAATGTACGATTAAAATGAAGAGATACGATATGAACCCATCGACACTGGTGTGTGATTCGAATAAACTTCATCTTTTAGTGTCTTCAACCGTAGATTGCTCAACATTCGTTGAGTAATACAGTAAAAAGGAGGGAGATCTACTTCCTGGATAACGTTTTCAGTGCGGGACCTGCCTTTACACCTTGCAATACACTTTGGAAAGTTAGGCAAGCAATGGTTGACAGTCTTCAAACGGAGTTAAACTCAATTTTTTAATGAGTTTAGCCAGCAGTTTTACTATATTCTTCTAAACTACTTGTGGGGAAAAAGTTTTAAGACCTTCTGATCTCTGCTGAACACTCCCGAGGTAGGATGATGCAGCCGTTCAGCGGTATTCCTTGGTTTTGTAGTGGCTGTCTAACGGATGTCACTTTATAATCTAACTTGAAACCAATGAACTAACTCTCTGCAAAAACCTAAAGGGCTAAAAGCATGACACTAGTAGTTGCTACCTTGTGTCCATTGAAACTATCCATTATATAGTCCAATAGGAGATCAATGGAGAACCCAAATAACTGCTCTGTAGTAACGTGTGTCTGCCCGCAGGATTGAGTGACGCCGGGTTAGAATCTCAGAAGGGATTGCAGACATGCCTTGCTGACTGTTGTTCATGTTACTATCAAAGGAGTTGATAATTGAATGATTAAGATATCCAATAACACATAGGAAAGTAGATGCATTCTACTGGAAGGAAAATTCTAGTAGAGCCCCTAGTGGTTTTTAAACAAATGATATTTGTATTTGTGTAATTTCAACTTTGAATTAACTATTCTACTCTATGATTATTATTGTTTAATAATGCACAAATCGTTCTTCTTTTCCTTTTTCTTTTTTTTCCTCAAAACAAAATCCACATTAGTCTCGCCTATTTCTTCTTCAACTTCTTCAACAAATCCATGGTCATCATTTAGTGGAATGATCAATGATACAAATAATAATATTGATAATGATAATACATGGCTAACATCATCATCATCAACAGTAGCAGCAGCATCATCAACATTAACACCGGGTCTTCTACCTCCTGAACCAGATTGTCTTTCTGATCCATTCGACTTGGGTTGGCTGGATAGAGCAACAGCTAGTGTTGTATCATCATCAACTGATAAAACTGTATCTAATAATAATAATAATAATAATAATAATAATAATAATAATAATAATCCCTTTCTTATAACTAATCGAAATGGTGTACTACCACTCAATCAAGAGACATTTGTGCATAATCAAACTACATAATAAATAGTAAAGGCTTATTATTATTCATTACTATTATTACTATTATTATTATTACTTGTATTGTATTATATATACATATATTTCTTTCTTTATGAAGAGGGAATTCTAACAAACGATATAGTAGAATAAAAAGTTTTTGCTTTTATTTTGTTTGCTAGATCAAAATTTCTTTGTAATGTAGATTATTATTATTATTATTAAAATATTGTGTTTGTTTGCCTCTTTCTCTACTTTCTCTCGGCTTCTTTCTCTTTAAGTTTCTTTTCCATCTGTTATTTTTCGTTTTTCATTTCATAAAGTACACTTGGTAAAATAGTAATATTATATAATATAGCAACTTTGAGAGTTTTGAGTCTACAGGGGATATATAAAAATGTATACATGAACTCATACGTATTTATTTTTGTGTTTGTGTATGTATCTATCTATGTATGCGTGGGTGTATGTGTGGGTGTGAGTGTGGGTGTATGTTTTCATTCCTCACACAGTTCTTCTTTCACATACAGTGTGTGCATGTATATTACTCATTTTAATTTATATTTTATTGTCTGATACATTTATTTATATTAGTGATCTGATGGTGATGATGGAGAGAGGGGAAAGAATGTGATTTCAAGGGATTGACTTACCTTACCCCTTCTTTCTTTTCATCAGTAGTAAACTCGAAAATAAACAGTGTTATGTATACATCATAATATATTCTGAAATGAAAATGACACAAGTTAGAAACAGTTGAATTATTATATCTAATATTACTGTGATCGGTCTACTTATTATTTCGCCCTGTGTCATTATGCCCCATCTTTCACTCTTCCTCTCTCTCTCACACTGTCTATCGTGTATAAGTCACCTGTTTTCTCATATATTAGTCACACACACACGTGTATATTTGTCAGCTACTGTCAGCTACTCACGGGATGGAGTAGTTTACGTCCTTTATCGTCCTTCTAGGTGCTTCTCCTCTTGTGTCTCTTCTTCAAGAAAATCTTACTAATTGAAATATTTCTTCATTACTTAATTAACTATTTATCTGTTGCTTCCCCCCTACCACTGATGCTGTTGTTGTTGTTGGGGGTGGGGGTGCTGGGGTGGCCCTCCTTTTGTTTTCTTCAACATTCTGTGCGTGTGTGTGACCCCCCCCGTTTTGTCTCCCCTCCGTTTGTCCGTGTGTGTGTGTGTGCGTGTTTGTTGGTAAACTTGTTTCCTTCCTTCCTTCCATATTGTGTTGTGTTATCATTTCCCATCATACTTTTGAATCTGGAAAACAATTTTGTGTACATAATAATGCCTTTCAGCTTTTTGTGTTTGAGGTGTGTCAGTGTGTATGTGGATAGGATGCGCAGGCTGGTGGAGATCGACGAGAAAGAAGAAGAAGGAGGTTTGTATCCCTCTCTCTCTCTCTTGAGACATCTTTTTTAATGCATACTGTGTAACACGGTAGTTCTAGAGGGCGATGATGTGGTAGAGTAGAGTGAGATAAGAGTTCATGTATATTCTGACTTAGTCATCTATGTATGCATGTGTATAACTTCTTTAATTTTCCTCGTCCTGGTACTTCTCCCATTTTGTGTATATTTGCGTTTTTGATCCGTTTGTTCTATTTCATTTTATTTACCCCTTATCCTTCTTCTTGTTATGTAGTGTAGTGTAAAGAAGTGACAATTAGGCTGTCCAATAGACACGCCATAGGTGTGGTGTTGTGTGTAGTGCTTACAAAAATCGCTATATATGTGTCGCAAAAATCTCTTCAAACTTAACACATTACAATGATTATTTATTATCTTAACCCTTAATAATAATAATTATTATTATTACTACTACTATTATTATTATTATTATTATTACCATGATTACAACTGTTATTATTTATTGATGTACTTAGTTATTTTTAAGGTAATTCATCATTCAAGGTGGTAAAGGTGTAGGTGGTTGAATGTGTTATTTATTTCCTCTTTCTTAATGAGTACTTCTCACTATTTTATTAACACACATTTATTTATTTATTCATTGTGTATGTGAAAATGCGCCAAGAAAACTATCCTCTTTTATTATTATTATTGCTATTATTATTAGTATTATTATTATTCCTTTTACTATTGAGTACTTCTTCTTAGCCTTGTATCATCTTTTCGTAAAATCTCTTTATCTCATCTATTCTCCTCTCCTCTTCTACCTATAACTTATTCGTCGTTGTATCAATTTACACGTGTGTTGCATCACAGACACTCTTTGTGTATGTGTCTCCTTCCACTTAATTAATAATATGTATGCAATGTAATACTGAGGTGATAACAATAGTAATAATACTAACAATACTAATAATAATGACATGAATAAAACAAGAAATAGACTTCATTACTTATGTGTTTTTTTTAAAAATTTGTTTTCAATGGATTTCAATTTCTTCTTCTCCAGGTAGTGTGGGTGGAACGGGAAAGAGACAAGAATGACTAGGTGTTTTATATATATATATATATATATATAATCAGTACAAAGAGATGCTGCAGACAAAAGTTTTAAAGTTTTTCAAAAGAAAGCATACTGAACAAAGAGTACTCTTTTCGATAACCCCTTCATCATCACGCTCTACAATTATACATACATTATAATGAATGAATGAATTAGTGTTATGAACGACATTAATATTGCTGTTTAAATAAAATCGAATCAATAATATTGATAGATTACAGCTGAATAGCATCAACATTAAATAAGCTGAATGTCAGAAGAATTAGGAAAGATAATATTACAAATTCATGAGTTTATAGTTTCTACTGAGGGCCAGAGCAGTAGTCAGATGAAGTACCTGGACTAGCCACTTCAAGTTGTATCTATCAATTCAACTGCGCTTGTGATGGAGCGAGTTATATTGGCCGTTGCTCTAGGAACTTGATTTTTCGTGCTCACTCAAGAACACCTCCCACTATGGCTAAGTAAAGGTGTAGTGAAAATCATTAACAGTTCGATATTGGGCCATCTGGTGCAAACCGGTCACAAAGCCAGCCAGTGTGGAAGAATCCTTCTCTGTCATCTACCGGGTGCCTAATAAATTACCAAAATCGTCGAAGCACCGCATGCTCCAAACAACAGAGGCTATTGCGATTCGCCTCAAACAACCAGTGCTCTGTGTTCAAAAGAAAAAAATCCAGCCCCTACTATTGCCTTGGCCCTCAGTGGAAACTATAAACTCATGAATTTGTACTATTATCTTTGATAATTCTTCTGACATTCAGCTTATTTTATGTTGATGCTGTTCAGCTGTAATCTATCAATATTATTGATTTGATGTTTTTTAAACATCAACATTAATGTCGTTCATAAGACTAATTCATTCATTCACTATAATGTAAACATGTAACTGTAGAGCCTGATGATGAAGTTATCGAAGAGAGTACTCTTTGTTCCGTTTCCATCCTTTTGAAAATTTTAATGGGCATTTTTATTCAGTTTAAAGTTTTTGTCAGGGTTACTGTGACACTGTCCGGGGCCGCTGTGTGACGATGAACATCCTCGTCACATGAAGGCATTAAATAGGACTTACTTGACAGAAGCTATGAAAATGCGTGGGGTCATATGTGAGAGGATTTCGTGAGAAAGGCGGAGGAAATCTACTCATCATTCGGCTGTACCAAAATATATCCGGTGGCCTTTTTATTCGATAAAGTTTAGGAAGAAAAACAATTATCAAGAAAGAAAAAAAATCCACTGAAAACTGAAAACCATATCGATTATTCCTGTTATGATTTGTGCCATTTATATGCACAGAAATAGAATTGTGTCCTTAAACTTGTAATTCTGTCTGTCATTTTTCGGGTGTAAGTTTTCCACTTTTATATGATGATCAATACTGACTGACTAACCGCTTGACAAGGACACTTCTATTTTAATTTGATTAACAATTCGCCTGTGTTGTCAAATAAGTATTTGATCGAACGAAGAGGTAATATGATTATTCTTATGAATCATAGTTTGCAATGTAATATAAAGTTTGAAAAATAATAATAATTATTGTTCCATTTAATTTCTAGAGGAACATAGGGTATAAACCCCGCGTCTCCATTGCATTCGCTTCTTTGCCAACGTTTCCACCTGGCTCCAAGTCTGCCCACATGCCTTCATCTGCTCTTCACATGACCTCCTCCAAGTCACCCACCCTCACACTGACGACCAACTCGCCGCTTCCCTTTCGGGTTCCATTCGAGCACTGGCTTGTCTAGTGATGTCAATTGATGGTTTGTTTTTTCAGAGTATGGCCAATCTATTTCCATTTCTTCCTGCTTATTTGTTTCACAATCGGTTCCTGCTGGGTTGGTTCGCTGTTAATGAAGGTGTGTAGTTTGTTTGAGATGCTCTTCATGACGCGCAGTGCAAGTCTCTGATCCATCCGAATAGTGAGTAGCACTGACTTCATGTTGGAGTTGAAAATCAGGATCTTATCTTCATTTTGATGTCGAGTAGGGCTGTTGACCTCCTCCACACAGACTTGAGAGTAATGAAAGCTTTTCTTGCTTTCCCGATCGTCACTGTTTTGATATCCTCGTCAGTTCCCTGCGCTTGTAGTTGAAACGATGCTTCCCAGGTAGGTAGGTCGGTAGGTGAAGGAGGTTGTTTCTTTCAGGTTCCTCCTATTTATGCTGGCTGATTGTTGTCTGTTGTTGTTGTTGTTTTTGATGGTGGTCGTGTTGTCCAGGGATCTTCATCACCTCTGTTTTCTCTATGTTCACCTGAAGGAAATCCTATCTTCTCCGGATGCTTCATCTGCCAACTTGTTGCTTTTCATTTGCATATCTTCCAGTTTGTGGGAAATCAGAAATATATCATCGGCGAAGTCCAGATCTTCCAAGTCTCTTTTTGTGTGAGTCCATTTTATGCCTGTTTCCTCACTGCCCGCCGCTGTTTGTCTCATTATCCAATCTACTGCAATCAGGAAAATCATTGGCGATAGTAGGCAGCCAGCTTGTCTTACTCCTGTCCTCACTTCGAAGGATTCCGTCAGTTTC